TGTTTGTAATGTAGTTTAGAGATTAGTATTGAAGAAAGAGGCAAACTTAAAGGAAAGAATATTGATTGACAACATTTATAAAAATTATTATTCTGGTAAGTAGTTAATTTCCAAATTACTTAATCGTTGTTTTCAAGAAAATCTATTTGATGATATTTTTAAAAAATCACAAGCATTGTAAAATAAATCTGAAAACTTTATTTCCATGTTCCAATCTCTTTCATTACACTAGATAACACTCAAGAGAACTAGTTTATTATATCTCTTTGAATTTTAGTTTCCACATTAGTAAAAAAAAATGAAAATACTTATGTTATTTGGATATAAAATGGGAATACATACCTGTACACATAATTTTTAACACAAAATATCTACTATCATTTTTTTTTATATTCTCAAGATAGTTTATGTGTTTTTATCCATTCTGACATAAACTATTAATCCAAATATGTTTATATTTCAATTTATTATATGCTTAAACAAAGGGGAACATGTTCGTTGAAGCCACTTTATTAAAATAAATCTGCCCTAAAACCTGTATCTAACATCTTTCATGACAGAATTGGCAGAGTTTGGTTCAGCTAAATTAGCCTCCCTATTTTACTTGAAAGAGCATTTTGATATGTCATCATTCAGAAGGTTTTAGTTTCTCTCATTCAACTATAAATAATGTAACTATGCTATTTAGCCTCTAAGTAAGAAGAGGAGTAAATGCTGACAATAATGACCACTTACTGGACACTACTGAGCATTGAATATTATCATTTAAATGTTAGTCTTATTTTAAATTTGATAAATTAAATAAGCATAAATGGTGTTTTCAAATATTTTCATATATATTTTTTAATTCACTCTATTCTTAGGTAATTAGGAATGTTGAGTCACAGAAAAAAAAAACAAATACAGAAAGGCTGAAAATCAGAGCAGTGGCAGTGAATCTGCTGCTTTCTCACCTACTATGGGAACTACTGATTCACCTTTATAATCTACATACTTATTTTTAGATCACGAGGAAGGTTTTCTCTCTTAAAACCTGAAAGAATACAGATATAATACAAATATCTTTCTACTTTCAAATTACGCATATTTACAGGACTATCCAAGGAAGTAAACACAAGAAAGCTTTATAAACTCATTTGTGAGAGAAGAATCTTTCAAAAAATGTGGCAGCTTCTCTAGAAAAATGATCGATCTGGATATAGACGGATGAAGGCAAAGGACTAACCAAAATTCAGATATTTTCCAAAATTAAGAAAAGGTCAACTAAGCTATTAACACTGTTAAGGAAAGGAAGGTTGTATTTGAGTTGGAGAAGACCACAAACTGCAATAATAAATTTATTGGCATAACATTTCTCTCTTCCTTTCCTCCTTACATTTTGCTAAGAACATGGAAGACATAAGTGGACAGCAGAAGAAAAACATTCCTTCTTTTCCTCTGTGGTGCCTGGAACCAACATCCCAAGAAATATATGATCAAGCCTCCTTTAAGTTCTAAGTTCAAACAGATGAGATTTTACAGTTCTTTCACAGTATCACTGTTTTGAGCGATCTGGAGTTGGACTGACCCAAGATTATCTTAATTTACTTATAACAGCTTGTAATAGCCCGCTGAAATATGAAAGGGTTAAAGAATAATTAAAACCTGAAACTGGACAAAGGAAGTCTATAACTTAGGCCTAGTTTCTGGAACCCCTAACCACATTCTGTTAATCATGAAACTTGTAACAATGAGCTCATACGCTAACTGCCAATTTTAGCCTGTGTAACCCTGCTTGCTTGCGTGGCATGAAAAATAATCAATTGTATATAAGCTGAAAATTACTGTTTGGCCATCGCCCATGGGAACACTGGCTATTGTCCATGGGAACATAGGCAATCACCCATAGGAACATAACATTCTAACACAAGCTTTCTGCTTCTGTACTTCCCGCTTGCACACCTGACCAGTGGGTTGACAGGTAGTGAATAGGAGAAAGATGGACCTTTGTGTTTAAGACAGAATGAGGAATAGGATTTGGGGCTTAAAAACCTTGTATCTTGGCATTTCGAGGCTGCTCCTTTGCAAGGACAGCCGCCGGCTAATAAACTGTCTCCTGGTTAAGAGCACTCAAGTTGGGTCTGGTTATTCTGGACACAACAAGCTTTTCAGTCCCAAATCTCCTCAATAGTCAGAGACATCTAAATGATTACCTCCTCAATTTAATCACCAGAAATAGACATGAGAGAAGGAATAGAATCAATCAAAAGAACATAGTAATATATCTCAATTTACACCACACATACACACATATACATAATAACAGGCATAAAATATTTTAGACATTTAAAGTAGCAAGACATTTAGAAATAAAGAAGGGGAAAAAATCTTATTTAGAAAGGAAATAAAACATACATGAAAGAAAAACAAATCTAAATCTGCTGAAACCAAAATACATACTAACTTATGTTGAAAGTAGCAGAGAGGAATTTAAAATAACAAATATGAATGTGTTTAAGAATTTAGCAAAAAGCTGAAAGAGTTAAAGATTGTACAAAGGCATAGGAATCTCAAATCTATTTTTAAGAAAACAAATTAAATTATAAAAATTATAGAGAGGCATAGAGTAGTAGAAAGGATCACTGAATTAAAAAATAAATGATCAATAGAAATTATCCAAAATACAAAATGCAGCATAAAGAGGAAGAAGAAACTTAAAATTTAAAACCTGAATAGAATATTTGTATCATAATATCAATCTATCATGTAATAATTGTGTAAAAGAACAAAGCATAAAGGGAAGCATTATAATGGCTTAAATTTTCTGAACTTAATGAACACCATCATTTTAAGAAGTTCAGAAAACTAAAAGCAGAATGCATGCACAGAAAATCAAATTTTACACATTTTTTGTCAACCTGTTGAAAATAAATATAGATACAAACTTTAAATGTAATCTTAGAGTGAAAAAATTTATACATCATATATAGCTGAACAAGGATAGATATAAAAGGTTATTTCTCAACAGAAAGATTTAATAATAACAATGAAATTACATTTAAAATTTTAACAGAAAAGTAACTCAAATTTGAGTTTAATAATTATCAAAAATGTCCTTGAAACTGAGGTGAAATAAAGATAGTTTTAAGTAAATTGTAACTGAGAGAATTCGTTATTATCTGATCTGAATTACCAAAAATAAAAAGAATAGTAAAAGTTCCCTATGCAAAAGAGAAAATATGTCAGTTGAAAACCTAGATATACAGAAATGATAAAAGAGCATTGTAAATGGTAAATAAATGGACTTTTTTATATTTCTAATTTTATTGAAATACATTTAATTATTGAAAGGAAAAACACTTGCATTTTAGGTGGGTGTTTAAATTAAAAGAATGGGAAGAAGGGGAAGGTAATTAGAAATATATTGTTGTAGCTCTTATATTATGCATGACATGGTAGAATGTTGATACAAAAACTCAAATAAATTAAGGAAACATATTTAACAAAATACATAAACATAATATAAAGAAGGAACACAGAAACTCAATTCCAGAAATAAAACGAAGCTTAACTAAAAAGTAAAAACCAATCAAAAAGGAGACTGAAAAGAGAACCAAATGAACATAAAGGACAAAAAAAAAAAAAAAAAGGGCTTAAACCCAATCATATCAATACTTATAAAATATGAGTATGCCAGATATTTAAAATTAAAAAAGGAAAGATTTATCATGTTTTAAAAAATTGTACTCAAAAATACGATTTGTGAAATGCAATAAATATAAAATGATGGGAAAATGTAGACATGTAAGCACTAATTATAAAAATGCTGATATGTCTATTAAATATCAGATAAACTAAACTTAAAAAGAAGTGATATTACCAGATTTAAAGAGGTGTATTTTATAATGATAAGAGTCAATTAATCAAGAATCTGCAGTAAAACTAAATATACATCTACATTGTAGAGTTTTAAATTATATAAAGCAAATTTTCAGAACTAAGTGGATATATAAACAAATCGACAATAATAGTTGTAGATTTTACTATTCTTTTCTTAGCTATTGATGGAAATAAACAAAAAATTAGTAAGCAAATAAAATATATAAAAACATTGTTAATCATCCTGACTTAATAGATATTATACAAAAATGCACGCAATAAGTATAGAATATACATTATTTTTATATACGTGTTATAAATTCCTCAAGATAGACTATGTGGTGGAGCATGAAATAAGTTTCAGAGTATTAAACTGTAGAGAGTATATTGCTCTTACGAAATCAGAATTAAATTATCAATCAATAAAAGAGAGATAGACTTTAAAAATCTCACAAATATTTAGAAAATATGCAAAACATTTCTAAATAATGCATGAGTTGATAAAAAAAATCACAAAGAGTATGAGAAAATATTTTGAACCAAGTGATGATGAAGATATATATTAACATTGTTAGAGGTAGCTAAAATAGTTCTAAAAGGAAAATTATAAGTTTAAATATTTACGTTAGAAAAATAAGAAATTCTAAAATGTAAAATTCTAGCTTGAGAAGTTGGAGAAAGGAAAGTAAATCCAAAGCAGAGTGGATAGACAGAAGGAAATTGTTAATACAGAAAAATTAATGAATTAGCAAACACTTAAACAAAGAACAATGTTAGGTTCTTTTGAAAAGATTGATAAAATGTGATTAACTCCTAGTAAGGTTATTAAATAACTACAAAGAAACTAGAAATTATCAATACCAAGAAGAAGAAAATAGACATCACCAATAGTTCTATGGACATTAAAAAGATAATAAGGAACATTATAGATAACTTTATGCCAACATCTAAGAAAACGTAGATGGAATAGTAAAATTCTTTGAGAAACAGACAAACTATATAGCCACAAACATGTTAAAATAATTATACTTGTAATTAAAAGTCTTAAAAACAAACAAGCAGGCAAACAAACACCTCATGGCTCACAAGTCTTTACTGGTAAATTGTATCAAATGTCTAAGAGAAAAAAATGTATGACTTACAGTCTTTCAGATTCATTTTCTTTTGTGTTGTCTTTGTAATCCCAGTCGTATCAACCTGACAAGTGCATATCTAGAAAAGCATACACATATAAAAATTATTAACAAAGTATTAGAAAATAAGATTAAACAATACATTAAAAAGATAACACCTCAAGCCAAATGTGGATTCACACAATTAATTAAAGGTTAATTCAAAATTAAAACAAATAATTTGTGTACCAAATTTATAGAAAATAACTGAGAAAATCATAAATCCCAATAAGATAGAAAAAAATAACAAAACTTAACACCCAACAGGAAAAAAAAGAAAAAAAAAAAACTCCCAGTATTTAAGGACTGGAAAAAACTTTTTAAATAGGAAGTCATGTAGAATATGTACAATAACCTATAGCTAACAATATATTTAATGACGAAAGGCATTATGCTTTCCCTCCAATATCAAAGGAAAATGCTTGTATGTTCATTGCTACAGGATATCCTAGAAAATATAAAATGCTATTTAAAAGAATTAACAGCATAAATATTGAGGAAAAAAGAATAGGCTTCATTATTTGCATATAAAACAATTCTTTATGTAGAAATACTAAGTAATATACAACAAAACTATCCGATATAGTGTGTAAATTCAGCAACTGTTCAGGAAAAAAGAACAATATTCATAAAGCAATTTATTTATACATAATAAAATATTGAAAAATAAAAATGAAAACACCAACATTGTTTACAATAACATATACAATAACATAGGGTCAGTTTAATAAAAGATGTATAGAAACTTTGCACTGAAAACAACAAAATGTTGCTGAGAAGGATTAAATAAAAGATATGAAGGTATCTCTTAGAAATAAATGGTGTAATATGCCATGCTTACATGTCAGAAGACTAAATTTTCTCAAGTGTCAATTTTCCTCACATTATCCTATAGGTACAATGTAATTCCAAAAAAATCCCAGAAAGCTGTTTTTTTTTTTCCTTTTTAGAGATTGTCAAGATGATGCTAAAATTTATATAGAAATATAAAATACTTGGAATAGCCAAAATAATCTTTTAAAAGAAGATCAAACTCAGAAGTCTTTCATTATATAATTTTAAGAATTGCTTAAAAGAATATACTGTTTTAAAAATAGACAATTCAATGGAACAAAATTGAATCCAGACACAGACCCTCTCCTTTCTTTTATTTAAAGTGTATCAATTCAATCCAATGGGTGAAAGTAATGTATTTGCAACAAATGGTACTAGAAACTCAATGAGCATTTGGAAAAGTAGGGAACCTTGACATACCTAATGTATAAAGATATTAACTTGAGATTAATTAAATATCTAAGTGTAGAAGCTAAAACTATGAAGCTCCTACAATAACATATAAGAAAATATCTGTAATATTTGGCTGAGCAAAAATTTCCTAGATCAAATGCAAAATCAAAAACACAAAAGAAATAAAACATGATGAACTTTATCAAAATATAAAAAACTTCTCAAAAGACCAGAAAAAGAAATCTTTGAAAGGAGAATGAAACCACAGAAGGAGAGAAAATATTTAGAAAAAGTAACACTTGACAAGGAACTTAGCTCCTGAATATTTCTGAACCATGTACAACGTTTTAATGAAAAACAAATAACTCAATTTTAAAGAGATTTTTTAAAATTGTTTATTTTTGGTTTCGCTTTGGAAACAGAAAAAGATTAGAAGACATCATTTCCGTTCTTGCAATAAAGAAAAAGCTGAAAGAACCAAAAAGAAATAACTTTTCTAGGACTTTTTAGAGAATTGAAGTCACAGGGCATGCTGCTACTCCAAACTCTAGAGAGAAAGTGAATGTAAAGAATCAAGCCGAGATGTACTTACCTACTGGAGAAGCTACTGGAGTCATAAACTGGTGGTATAAATGATGAAAAATAACACTGATCCATTGCTGGAGGTGAAATGTTGATTAGTGTGAGAGCATGGTTGCAGTTTTAGGGAGCTCACACACTTCTCTGAGTTTTGACTCCAGGAACCCCACATTTCTCACCAAGAAGAGTCAGAAAAAAAATCTCACTATTTCTAGCAGTGGGGAGGGGAGAAAAAATCATTTTGAAATTTGTACAGCGTGTTCTCTCTTACAAAAGCCTCCTAAACAAAGGAAAAAGTTTACCAGATCCTTATTGTATAGGGGGAAAGGGAAATAACCCACCTCCACACACTTTTGGCTTTCCTGTCTCATATAAGGGTTGAAAATGGATAAAAACACTTGTGAATGTCACAGCTGAAGGACACAGTCCCAATGAAGACTGAGACTAAATTATGGGGTTATAGATTGCTTCCCACATCAAAAGAGCACAAAGGAAATAAAAATGTATCATAGCTGAAAAACTTTAAGGCTCATAAGGGATGTTTAGAGAAATTGAGACAAAAGGAGAGAGAAAAAAAAATACCTGAGGAAATCGAAGCCTCTGGCATCTGCAGCTACAGCAAGAACTAAAGACAAACCGATACCTAGCCTGATTAAAAACTTACATTAAAGGCCTATTTACCTTGGTTCTTAAATGTTGATACAACGTATCCAGCTTTAAGAAAGAAATTATAAGGCATCCTAAAAGGCAAGTAAAAACACAACCTGAAGAGAGAAAAGCAACCATAAAAACTGGACTCTGATAAGGCAGACATTTTGGAATGATCAGACCAGGAATTTAAATAAACTATGAGTAATATGTTAAGAGCGCTATGGGGAAAATTACACAACATGCAATAACAGTTGGGTAATGCAAGGAAAAAAATCTAAGAAAGAATGAAAAAAAATTTCTCTAATTCAAAACCTCTATAATAAAATTGAAGAATGGCTTTGATGGAATCATCAATAGACTGGGCATGCCAAAGAACATAAGTAGTGAGCTTGCAAACTTATCAGTAGAAATGTTATAAAAATAAATGAAAAGAGAAAAATCTTTTAACAAAACAAAAGAGAATATCCAAAATTTATGAAGCAATTTCAAAAAGTGTAACATGCGTTATCGGAACACCAGAAGAGAGAGTATAAGAAATATCTGAACTAATAATGGCTAAGACATTTTCAAATTAATGATAAACACTAAATCTCAGATTCAGGAAACTCAAAGAACATCAAGTGGGTTAAATACCAATTCCCTGCCCACTAACAAAACAAAACTAAACTAAACTAAACTAAACTAAACTAAACTAAACTAAACTAAACTAAACTAAACTAAACTAAACTAAACTAAATTAACTAAACTAAACTAAACTAAACTAAACTAAACTAAACTAAACTAAACTAAATGTATTTCAACTGCAGAATTCCAAGAATGGAGGGAAAAACCTTAAAATCAGCTACAGAAAAAGGAAAATGCTTTACTTATAAAAAAAAACAAGGAGAAAACTACATTGGTCTTGTCAACAGAAACTATGGAAGCAGGAGAGTAGAGTGAAATAAGTGTTGAAAGAAAAGAAAATATTAACCAGAAACCTGGGAAAAATACCCACATATCTATTAATTTGAATGCTATACAAAAAGTGAAAAAATAAAATTTAGATGGCTCTCACAAACATAATAAGCCAGATAACGAAGTAATGTATACTATACATTTTCTTTTCTATAAATCAAAAAAAAAAAAAAAAGGCTATGTTATAAACAATCAGGATAGTGATTATAATTGGACAGGAAGATTGAATACTAAGGGGCATGTCAAGGGCCTCTAAGATGTTGGCAGTATTCTTTTGCTTGACTTTAGTGAGTTTCATTGGTTTATTCATTTTTTGATAACTTTTAGACTTGTACATTTATTATTTGTGAATTTTTCTGTTAGCATGTTATACATCAATTTAAAAACTTATTTGACAATTTATCATCTGTGCATTTCATTGTGTGTTCGCCATCTAAAGCCAAATGTATTATTGAATCATATACTTGAAACCTATATAATTTTATTAACCAATGTCACCCCAATACATTTATTTAAAAAAATAAATAAAAAGATAGACAAATGTCAATTAAAAAACGGTAATATCCTAAGGCAAACATTTATACTTAAATTCAGGGACCAGAAATGGAATTGTGTCTCTGAGCCCTTATTTCACTTCATATTCTCCATCTGTAAAAGATGCAGAAAACTAGGATTGCTTTGTAGAAAGGGTAAACGAAAAACATTGTCTGTAAAACATAATTGCCGTGTGCTTTGCACGAATAAAAAGTATTGAATTAGTACAACGTTCAGGGAACGTTAACCTGTATTCATTACTTTTTTTGGTCACAATTTGATAATGAGATTGTTCAGGATAGTATCTCCGCAGAGCTTTGGCTATATATACTTACTATAATTTGCAAATCTTGAAAATGGACTTAATTCTTACTGTAGAAAGCTGGAATCAGAGAGTGGAATTGCTGCAATGAATTTGTAAAATAATAAAGAAGTCTGAGAGAGGAAAAGTAAAAATAAATTAAAAAATAAAAATTTATGTAGCATTCTGAGTTACTTAAACAATGTAGCCATATATTCAGTCAAAAAGGAGTGTCTTTTGCCTTTACCTCCAATCTGTTGCTTAGGATTTGTAATTGAGCCAAGATCACATAAGTGAATGGGACCAACTCATGTAACAGATGCTCTCTGGGTGCTTCTTTTCTGAACATTTTGTAGGATTAGTTAGTGTCCATGCTGCTAAAGAATTAATCTTGAATCACTGAATTAGCATAAAGGACATTATAAATATTACAGAAAGCTGTAGATCCTAATAGCACACAATTTGATACAATGTTCACTTTCCACTAGAAAATAACAATATAGTTTTTTTTTCTTGAGATATAAGAACATTTCTTGATTTATATAAATATGGAATAATTAGTACTTTCGGAGTTTAAACAAAATATTCTGACATTCTTCTATCTGTTACCTCCACTGTCAGTAGTGAACCATGAGTGTAATTTTTGAATGTTCTTTAGTGTTTAACATTGTTTCTTTGATGTGATTTTGACCTGAATGGTCCTTTCAACTCTGTAAAGCAATCAGTCATATAATAATACAAATAATTTAATTATAACTCATCTAGCTCTGTAATAGGCCTTAATATATACAAATTCAAGTAGAATAGTTCATCTAAACTCATTTTATCTCAGATCGTTCTAATTTTTCAACTATGGAGTTTGGTCTCTAAGTTTGTCCATAGTTCTAAATAACATTTAGGTTAAAAATCACGATACCGTAAAAAAAATTCAAAATTTTTTTGAATTTACTGAATTCAAGGACTTGATCTCTGTTTCTCTGAACTCTTTCTCATATTATTTTCAAGAAGACATTAACACATAAATTCTGGCTTATTCATGTCCAATTGACAATGTGATGATTATGAGAAAATCTATAAGCTCAGTCTCTACATTTGTATAAAATGTGCAATAGGTTTAATAGTCCTTCCTCAATTTTGAATGCTTTCAGAAAACTGGGGAAGAATACAGTCAATCAAATTTTTCAAGTTTTTGGTCGTTCAGAGTAAGTTTGTGTTTCTGTTCTGGTGTGCTCCCATTGCATATTAACAGTGAGCTGATTTAAAAAAAAAAAAAAAAAAACAACGCTAAAATGAATTATTCTGCTTGAACAGTCCAAGCTGTTTTAAACAGTCTACTGCTGACAGTGCTTAACTAAAGTCAGCAAAGAAAAGATAAGGCTTACTGGTATTGTTTGTTGAAATATTAATACCAATTCCAGCTGTAAAAATGATAAATACTTTAATAAAGATAGCTTGTTCCTCACCAAAGTTTGTAGTACTTTTTATTCTCTCCACGCAGGAATATTCCCAGCAGACAGATTTAATCTCACAAAAGATATGGGTTACTAAAATGTTGTTATCTTACAAATGTCCCCAAAGCTTTTAAAATAAGCAGCCAAAATGTGTTAGCTACATTTCACATCCTTTAAAATACCACATACCTTTTCTTAATTAGTAATCTAAAGGAAGTACATTAATTTTGTTTAATATACTATATCACATGTATTAGATGCTTACTCGAACATCGATTGTGTGGAATTTTTTTGTCATTTGCCTTTTTGGTTTCTGTTTTTTTGTTTGTTTGTTTTGATGCTGTTTGCTTTGTTTTGGTTTTGGTTTTGTTTTCTGAAAAATACATGAACATGAACTACATGGCATCAAAGAGCAGCATAAATTATAGAGGATTGCAGAGGTAAACTGTTGAACTGAACTTAAGTGGTAGAAACATTAGGTGCTAATTCGTTGGCAGAGCAGCTCTGTGCTATGTGCTTTGTGTATGCTGATAATAAAAGCATTATATAAGGCCAATGCCCCTTCAGTTTCATGAGCTTTTTATGTGACATGGCACATCAAATCTGCCAAGCACAAGACCATCTGGAAAGAGAGTACCAGTTCAAGGATGTGATTTTATTTGAAAGAAAATAACGTAGGTAAATATTAGGTATAATTAAAGGTCAAACAAAGATTCACACAGAAAAGCATTGTGTTATCACTATTAATAATAAAAATAATCACAAATGAATTATATGAAAGCAAAACAAAACGGTCTTTGGCAAATCATTAAAGCCAGTGTTTAAACCCCTAAGTGATTCTGGGTCATAAATTAGTAGAGGGAAAAATTACTCAATAAATGTTACTGGGATATTGAAGTAATAATTTCTTTAAAGAAATAATTTTCATTTACTTCAAACCAAAATAAATTGCAGATGTACTTAAAACTTAGAAAAGGCTAAACCTTGTAAGGTCTACATCATTATTGTAATATGTAAATATACTCTGCCTATTTATTGTCTCTCATAAACCCCTACCAACCACTAATCTTTTCACAGCCTTCATAGTTTTGCTTTTCCAGAAGGTAATTTTTCAAATTGTCCTCTTTCGCTTAGTAATATTCATTTAAGTTCCTGCCATGTCTTTTCATGGCCTGATAGCTCATTTCTTTTTAGCGCTGAATAATATTCCATTATCTGGGTGTACCATAGTTTATTCATTCACCTACTAAAGGATATCTTGGCTTACACATTTTGGCAGTTATGAATAAAGCTGTTATAAACATTTGTGCGAAGGATTTTGCATGAGCATAAGTTTTCAACTCCTTTGGGTAAATACCGAGGAGCATGATTGTTGGATCATATGGTAAGACTATGTTTAGTTTTGTAAGAAAACACCAAACTGTCTTCTAAAGTGGCTATAACATATTCCTTGCTTCCCTGATCTTGGATTTAGTGTATTGGTTTTTAGTGTCTTAGCAACTTTGCTCTAGAGTATGTTCATGGTTTCTAAAGAAAATTTCTTTATTAGTTAACTAACGATCCCTTATTTCTTAAGATAATACAAGAAATTTTTTTTTTATTTTCTATAAAATGTAATAATTAGTTATGAAATGCTTTACAATTGACATTTTTTCATCTTTGTCATTTTGGTGTAATGGTAAATGAGGCTGTGTTTAGAGTCAGTATTAATATTTTGCTATGTGCAGCTGAATCTTTTTGTAGAAATTTTATGACATAATTTTCTGTGACAAACTAATACTTGAAGTTATGTAAGTAAGTTTTGTAATTCGATTATTGGTAGAATCAAATTGTTACTTTTTAAAGCTCCATTTCTTTATCCATCTTCATTTTTTGACACCACAAAGGGTAATCACTGACTCAGAGGGTTGATAAACACTAGCAGAGAGTGAAAGAAGAGAGCGAAAATGACCAGCGTTTTCCAAACTTTAATCATCCTGAGAAAGTATTGCAGTTTACTGGCATTTCTTGGAATTTTCTTCATACTGTAGCTCAGTCCTTTTTATCCAACTTAAAAATAAAGATCACGTGAGCTAATGTGGTGTCAAGAAGGTTGCATGACTGGCATAGCATCCCCAAAATAGTGATAGAATATAAATCATTTGCTTCCTGGGTAGTGTTCTTCATGGATTTATTGAAAGGTAGGATTTCTAAGCTTTCAGTGTGTCTCTAACTCACAGAAAAGTAGAGACACGATGATAAATGTATGCCAACACCTGCTTATATAGTCTACTACAAATATACTTTTAGCTATTTCCAAACAATTTATTCTGCAATTAGAGTTCTTTTTTGAGCCCTTCTTGAGGTGTCATATTCTAACAGTAGACCTGTCTTTTGATTTTCCCGCTACTCAGATTTATGTTAATAAAATCTTTTCATCTTATGTTAGTTCTGCACTGAACATAAATCTC